GGCATGTACTTTGGTTGGGGGCATATTCCCAGTGGGGGGCGGGGGGTGTGCAGGAGGCAGTTGATCGATGTTTCTCTCTCATCAATGTTTCTAACTCTCTATCCCTCTCCCTTCCTCTCTATAGAAAAAATCAATAAAATATATTTAAAAAAAAGAAAACAAGAGTATGGCCAGGGGAAAATTGGGGGAAAAGGAGACATATGTAATACTTTAAACAATAAAGAATAAAAAGAAGAAAAAAGAATATGCCTCTCCAAAAATCCCCCCCCCCAAAAAAAAAAAAAGTTTACTTTGGTGTGTACTCTTGGAGGGTCTATATAATAAGCACAGTATACAAGATGAGTAGGGAACTGAAGATATTGTTCCTATAAGTTGAAATTGTTTTCATCTTCTTCAGCTTATCTCTTATAATCAGTTGTTCATCATGTTGTTGAGTATACTGGAAGCTTCACTTGAAATATTGGGGAACTCTGTTACATGCTATGTACATTTTCAAGGTTAGTGTCCTTGGATAATTTCGTGAATTCTATTCATAGAACTAACTGATATGGACTTAGTGGGTATGTAGCACACAAATCATTAACAATGGTGAGATTGATGTAAGACACCCCCTAATAACTATGAAGAAAATAGCTTTACATGAATTTGAGAGATGATGAGGAAGGAGTACTTCACAATATTTTTATGCTAGGATGATTGCCAACTCATCCAGTTTTTAAACTGATGAAAGTTTTGTGTCATGTGATAGACAATACCAATGGAATTTAGATTTTTTTTAAATAAAATCCTTTTGTAAATGGCTAAATTAATAGAAAGAGAAAGCCAAAGTGACAGGGAAATGACAAATGATACGATCCCATTACTGCTATAGAAAACACTGTCTAAAATGAAACCAATAACCAGAAAGGAGGGAGGCCCTAATCATATTACTTTAAGATGAGTATTGGAAACAAGACCTGGCTCACATTGCCACCCCAAAGCTTTTATGAGACTTGAAAAATATAATAATCATAGTATTATCCCATGAGACACGGAGTAATACAATTTACAGCTGTCCGGGCTCAGTGTAAGAGTGAAACATTATCTACTGAAACTAAGGACTATAGAGTAAACATAATTTAGATATATACAGAAAAACTGCAGAAGATGCCTGAAGAATCTTCACTGTTTTAAATGCTCAGATTAAATAAGTAGTAGTCTAATAAGTTCATAGGAGATATTCCATTATCAAGAGTTGATTCTTGCAAAGCACATACCAAAAACGTAACGCTTAAAACAAAACATGGTTATTGTCTCAACTTTCTACTGGTTGGGAACCTGGCAATGGCTTAAGTGGATGTACTTTAGGGTCTCTCACAAGGCTGCGATCAAAATGGCAGAGGCAGCCCAGCCAGCATTGCTCAGTGATTGAGCATCAACCTATGCATCCGGAGCTCACAGTTTGATTCCCTCTCAGGGCTTATGTCCACGTTGCAGGCTCAGTCCCCAGTGTGGGGTTTGCAGAAGGCAGACAGTCAATGATTCCCTCTCATCATTGATGTTTCTATTTCTCTCTCCTCCCTTCTGCTCTGAAATTAATAAAAATATATTTTTTTAAAAAGACGGTGGAGGCAGGAGCTCATTCAAAAGCTCGACTTAGGATTTGTGGCTTTTGGCAGAATTCAGGCATCAAGGGCTGTGAGACCGATCCCTCAGTTCTTGGTTGGTTGGTAGCTGAAGTCAACACTCAGTTATTTTTGAAACATGAGCCTCTTCGACATATCAAGCTGCATCAAAGTGTAGTGTACAAGTAGAGAAGGCGATCCAGACAATCTGCTAGCAAGGGAATTGTCACAATTTCCTATTGTGACTTAATCGCATTAGTGATAAACAATCATCTTTGCCATATTCTATTAATTGGCATCCAGCCCAGTGATAAGGAGGGTGTGAAGGAGCCCTAGCCAGTTTAGCTCAGTGGATAGAACATTGGTCTGTCGACCAAAGGATCTCAGATTCGATTGCAGTCAAAGGCGTGGACCTAGGCTGTAGGCTCCTCTTTAGCCCAGGCCCTGGTCACGGCCTATGCAAGAGGCAACCAATCAATCTGTTTCTCTCACATCGATATTTCTCTCCCTCTCTCTTCTATTTTGTCTATATATCAATGGAAAAATATCCCTGAGTGAGGATTAAAAAAAAAGAAGGGTGTAAAGAATACGGGGACTACTAGGAGCCATATTAGAAGCTACTAACTCTTAATAATAACCTAAATACAATAGCTGTATTGCTAAAGGGCACAGTTAAACAGTAAATACCAAAAAGGGGGAATTGCACGCTTTCTTCTCCTGTAGTAGAATATGCTTGCTTACTTGATTAGAAATGCTGTAAATATCAGTTATGTTAGAGTTGTTATATGATAATAATGGCACTTCCCAAATCATGTCATATAATAATGATGGCACTTCTCAAATCACTTTACTGGAAACAAGGTTCCTTTCAGACTGATGCTTCTCAGATGGCCCTCCTTCTGGGGAAGGGAGGAAAAGCAAGCATATATGTAACAGTAGTAGATATAATTTCTTCTGTACCTGACACTGGATATGTGAATGGGAAAACACTTTGAAAACTACTGGGAAAGGAACAAGAAAAGAAGGAACAAAAGAGAGAGAAACAAAGGAAATATTTGCTCTTTGTGTAATGATGGGAAAGGAAGCCTAAATTGAATACCATCTTTTTGTCCCTGGAGGAGCCTGGAAATACACATAGGAAAGTTGGGGTTAGACATGTAGCCCACACACACTAAGTTTTGGCATGGGCTTCTGAGGACCTGTGTTTGTAGGGTGCAATGGAGTGTGACATTGAACAACAAATATAGAACACTATGATAGATCAAGAGAGAGATGTAAAGAGAGGTGAAATGTTTACCTACTCTTTCAAAAAAAGACCCTGAATTGTTATTTTATGCTGGGCCCCACAATATATGTAGCTAGTCTTTAATAGGAGGTTTACCAAGAATGCTTATTCACATAACATATAGGGTTTGATTGACACATCCTGCAACCAGCTAAATTCAGAAGTCAGCTATCACTATGAAATTTTAGGAAATTACTGTATGATGCTCCTAAGCATTGAAAAACAAATCACTGTGTTTGAAGGATCCCACAAATAAGAAGGCAGTGCAACATTTGGTGGGTTTATTTGTGTCTTGACAGGCACACGTTTTTCTTTGGGTATCTACATGTTACATTCCAGAAAGAGACCAGAAAAGAAACAATCCAAATGGAGACTCGGGAAGCACCAGGAATTGTGAGACTTGTAAAAGGCTGTTGTTATCTAGACAGGGTGATTGACCCATAGACTCTCAGTGCACACTTGATATGAGAAATATCTGCTTGCTGTACTCTAGAACCTTCTCTCTACCTTTGAATACATCAAAAACAAGTATGGTTGGATCTCAATAAGGGGCATTAAGAGGGCTCTGATGATAATGAGAACTGACATAGGAGTGATATAATGTTTTCACGTGGAATTTCTAAAGGGACTTATTGTGAAAAGCCTATGACAAACACAAACTATGTTTTTGGTAGTAGGATGGACATGATTTCTATGACTTCTCCCAACTGCAATGAAGTAGGAAACGAATAATGTATTTTTAATCTTTTAAATCACCCAGAGTTAGCAGTAAATGCAACATCATAGTTGAGTTCAGGTATATATGGGAGGGAAATCAGGAGGATAGATGTTTTGTAATTGGTCTCTAAGCTACAGGCACTGCATAGACAAATACTCCGCACTTGATCAGTGAACACTCATAAGCCTATAGAATTGTTTCTGTTTATAAAACTGCATAATGTCAACTGGTTCAGCTGAAGATGCTCATTCTTTGCTCATATCTTAATAATTTGAATTAACCTTTATTTATAATAGACAAAATATTTTACAATTTATCATGTATTCTATAATGTATGCCCCATAAATATTCCATGTTTTTACAGAAAAAATGATTTAATTAATGGAATATTTCTCCTAAATCACATTTTTTGGAAATAATCTTATGCTGTAAAATAGTATAAATTAAGAATTTCTTAAGTATTTATTTCCTAAGGAGATTTTAAAGACATGTCGTTTTTGGAAAGTGTCACATAAATTATTAGCAGGATTAGCATAGAATGAATCTTAACTATATTTTAGAACACTGTACTTTCTTTAAGATATACAGTAATTGATGACTAAAAATTATATATAGTCACATACCACATAACATTGCAGTCAACAACGGACCACATACATATACAAGGAAAGTTTCTATCTATGAAATGACAACTTAGCTATCATAACATTGTGGTATAATGCATTACACATATGTTGGTGGTGATGCTGGTATAAACAAACCTATTATACTATCAGTCATATAAATTTTTACACTTACAATTATGTACAGTACACAATATTAGCTAATGACTAGCTGGTTTGTGTATTTACTATACTATATTTTTATCATTACTTTAGAGTATATTCTCTTGACTTGCAAAAAAAAATGTTTGCTGTAAAACATAATTCTGTGTTATGCTGGCAGCAGTCCCATACATATCGTGTTTACTGCATCACAGTATTGCATCATTTTCTCTTGTGCTTTAGTTTCATGTGGTATTGTTCATCATGGCCACTAAGCATATAAAATTCACTGCTAATTTTCCAGTAGGAGTCCACATCAAGTGATTGACCTGGAAACAAAATGAAAAGTGATTAAGGACTGCAAAGTAAAAACAATCAGTGATGGTTACTGTTCAGCAGTCAGGCATATCCCATTTCGCCATAGCTACTATCTTGAAGAACAAGAACAAAGTAATGAAAGTGGTTTAAAGATCTGCTTCATTGAAGGCAATGAGATTAACAAATATTTGAGAAAGGCCTATATCAGATATGGAGTAACTTTTAATGACCTGGATTGAAATAAAAATCTTGGACCCAACTATGATGTTGAATTTACTGCTAGATCTAGGTAATTACATTTATTTAAGAACCATTATCTACACTAATAAAAGAGAAAAATGGTAATTGGCGCACGACGCTACCCTTTTCATTGGCTAATCAGGGCTATATGCAAATTAATGGCCAACTAAGATTTGCAGTTAACTACCAACTAAGATTGGCAGTTAACTGCCAACAAGATGGTGGTTAATTTGCATATGTAGGCACAATGCAGGGAGGTGAAAGGGAAAGCAGGAAGAAGCCCCCTGCCACTGACAGTGATCAGAAACCCAGGGGGGAGCTAAGAGCTGGGGGGCAGGGCAAAGGTG